CATGCAAAACATTTTATTATTTTCTTTTGACAAATTTCGATGCAAACTAAACACTGAGATGCTATCAATGAACAACAACGATAATGATAATGATTACATTGAATGAAATAAATTCAATTCGATTCAATTAGTTTACGATCAAGTTTTATTTATTATATTCATTCCATTAACATAATGGATAAGAATTTTCATTTTGTGAATGCTCATCATAAAAAATCCCTCAACTAACCAATCAAACTAACTAACAAAACTCATTCTGGGTTCGTCACCATGGAATGAAATGAAGAAATCATTTTATTTGCCGTATTGGTAAGGAAGGAAAGAGAGAAAAAACCCTTTCAATACCGAATGTGATGAAAAGTCCCGTATAAAAAAAATCATTCACGAATGATGATTTTTTATGATGATTAAGATCAATTTAAACGTAGCTAGAAAATTTTGTTATTCAAAACGAACGGATTGAATAAATTTAAATACAATTTTCAAAATTTAGAAAGGATTTCGTTTCTCGTTTTTCGTTTTTTTTCTAATCGATCTATCGAATCAAATGGAAGATACCAAAAAAAAGGCAAAAACCCTAGACAAATTGTTTGTCAACAACACCTGAAAAAAGATATTTTTTCAATAAAAAAAAAAGGTTTTTTCGTTGAAAATATTTATTGAACTTGAATAAAATTAAATTAAAATCTTTTTCATTTCTACCCTGTCAAAATTCTTCATAACAATTTTCATTCATTTCATTTCATTTCAACTAGAATGAATCTGTGTATAAACATCAACATCACACAGACACAGTTAAGGATATTATTGATAGCTTTACAAACACATCATCATCATTCGCGTAGTCGTCGTAAATATTAATGGTAAATTGAATTTTTTTTTTCGTAAAAAAAAATAAATTTCATTATACACACAAAGACATATAGAGACATTTGACTGAAATTGAAAGCAAATGAGATTGCTTTTTATTTTTCCATTTGGATTCATCGTTTTTTTTTTCGTTCTTCTTCTTCTTTTCTACTTTGCTACTTTGCTTTGCATCGTTGATTTTAGTTTTTTGTTTTCTTTTGGTGAATTTTGTTAGTTTTTTGTTTCTGTTTAGTTGTTGTTCCATGGTCCATGAATCTATATGTTGTAGTTGTTTTTTGTTGATTTTCATCATCTTTCGCCTCTCTCTTAAGTTTCCAGCAATATCTTTCAATGTTCAAAGTTTACCCTTCAAAAAAAACAAGATTTATTAACCAAATTTAACTTTGAACTGATCAGTAACATCAAACAAGTTAGAAGCATAAAACATTTTATTATTGAATGTGTTTAACATTAAAGACGAAAGGTTCCAAGAGGATAACCAAAAAAAAACCAATATAAAAACAATAACAGAATTTCATCATTAACAACAATAGTACAGTAGTAACAAATTCTAAATCCAATTCTAAATTCGATTTATTTATTTATTCATTCATTCATTGGATACAATGAATAAACAGGATAGATAAATAGGATGGATGGATCAAATGAAAATGAAGCAAACACACACACATACGATACTATTGACAGAAACCTTTCGGACAAGTGTAATTGAAGATTGAATTTATGAACAACGAAAAAAAAGTGACATGTTTCAAATGAATGATATCAATTTCCACATAGATTGACTCTCTATATATTGAATGAATATTACTCAAAACGATGACGACAAAATAAAAACAAATCTCATTTATGAGAATATATCGTGGGGGAAAGAAAGAAAGAAGAGAACTGAATCTAAAACGTAACTAAATCTGACACATTCCACCATACAGTTTTATATATACCGTGTGTGAATGGATTCTTTGATTTTATTTTACAACAACACACTATACTCATTTTGGTCAGAATTAACAAAAAAAAAAGTGTCAAACCTAAACAACTGACATGGCTTGGCAATATATATTACATACAAAGAGACAAACACTCAATATACAGGACATTGAACCAAATAAACCAAAAAAAGAAAAATGAAAAAAAAGATTTTGTTTCGAAAACAAATCACATGATTGTCGTTGTTTATTATGAAATTTGGTTTTGATTGAAATTTTAGTTTTTCATTTTCATCATTGGAATGTTCATAAGTTTCTCTGCGTGTGTGTGTGTGTGTGTCTATGCATTAATTGACTTGATGATTTGGTTTGTTTGTTTGTCAAAGGAATTTGCTTTTTTTTTAATTTTCATTCATTCATTCATTCAATTCGTAGATTTCGTATGTTTGCATCATTTTCGATCTAAAAAGTTTTTTGCTTTGAAATTTTGTAAATCATCCTGATGATGAAACAATGATGTATTCCATCTATGACAAGAAACAAAACAAAAAACGGAAATGAAACAAAATTACATTCAAAATTCTTTAGAGAAAAAAACAAAAACTTGAGAATAATAATATCTTCGTAAGTTTTTTAAGGAAAAAAAATATGAAAATAGATAACCAAAAGAAAAAACACTGTGTGGATGTCATCATTGTCATTTTTAATTCATTATGAAAAAAATGATGATTTGTGCTGAGTGACAAAAAAAGAAGAAAAATTGTTGTCAAAAAAACGGATGGCCAAGTGAAGAAGAAATTCATTTCCTTTTTTTTTGGTTGTTGTCTTTCAAAAAATTTCATTTCAAAAGACATATGTAGAGAGGGTAGATTTGAAGATTTACATCAAAGCAAAGCAAAAAAAATCATTATTAACTTTAATATAGTGATCGTCTTCTTCTTCTTTTTGATTGTATGGAAAAGTTGTTGGACCACCAAATAAGATTTTTTTCTGTTTTTTTTGATGAAGATCATGTCAAAGTTTTTTTTTTGGAAATAATTATTTGTTATTTCAAGATCATAATGTGCTTAAGGCTGGAAAAAACATTGAAAGAAGAAAGAAATGATTAAGATGATGATCTCTAAAGTTTTTCTCTGTGTGTGAGCATCTAATTAGCCTAGACCGAGATCAATATACCCACCTTACTACTTGAATATCAATCAAATGATCGGATGGACAATAAAAATCATTAAAATGTTTCGTGAACGTTTCGGATAAACAAAAAACAAAAAAAAATTACTTAATTGAATGCTTCACACACACAGACAAACAATATTATATTGAACTTGGCAATTCTCATTAACATCATCATCATCATCATCATGATCGATAATTTTGTAATAAGTGAATAAATCAAAATGATGATGATGAAGAAGAAGAAATTTAATCATTATAGAATTCGAATGATTTGCCAAAAAAAATTGAGGTTCAAAAGTAACAATTTTCAAGTTGAACTTTGATTGTTTGTTTCATATTCACATAGGAATCGCCAATAATGATGCTTTTCTCGTTTTGTTTAATGATTTTTTTCAACGAATCAAGTCAAATTAAAAATTCTTCACGATAAAGATATGTAGACTTAAATAAACAAAGTTGTCATTATAAATTATAATCAAAAATGATGATAATGATTCGATGTTGTTGTCGTTGTTGTTGCAGGTTCTCAATTCTTCGTCATAAGCTTTAGTTGCTTTTTTTAAAATTTTACTTTTGTTGTGAATTCATTGTGAAATGGAATTCTTGACCAGATTTGATTTATGTAAATTTTTTGCATTTGTTGTCCAGTGACATTGATTTTTGGATATCATAAATAATGTATCAGGATATCATGTAACCAGGATACAAATCACGATGATTATTCATCTTGATAATGACATTTTTTCTTTTCTTTTTTCATTTTATCATTGACCCATTTTCGAAGAAGAAGAAAAAAATCATGATCAATTGTAATGAATTCTTGATTCACATGAGTTAGGGTTATTTTTTTAAAAATGGTCGAGCCATTACATTTTGAATTATTTCGATATTGTTTCATATATATGACAATACATTTCATGAAAACCAGTCTGATCAATCAATCATTCGTGCGATCGATCAATCAATCAATCATTCAATCAATCATTCAATCAAATCAGGCTAGATGAATAACAAAGACAAAAGAATGAATTGTTTAAATCGTGATGAAAAGGCCATTGTATCCAGTTGTTGTTTATTTCTACGGTTGCTTGATATAAATGATTTCATGCTGATGATGATGATGATGATGATCATTACTTGAATACAATCATTATCATTATTCGACAAAAAGAAAAACAAAAGACAATCGATATTCGGTTATTTTTTTATATAATCAAACATCCTGGATATCGAAATCCGATCAACACGGATCATTTATCCATGACCGTTATTTGGTTGGTTGTTATCGTTATCATTGCTACTTATATAACCGATTCATTCAACCGATAAGTATTGTCTACCAAAAAGAAGAAGAAGGTACCAGTCGGTGTCAACAATTTTTTTTTTAAATTTCGGTGAATTCAAATATTGATCTTGTTTGTAGATCATCATTGACACACAATTTTGAATTTAGGACAAAAAATTCGAACGTTATCGGAAAAAAAATCCTGCAGTTTCTTTTTGTTTCGAAATTCGAATGTTTTTTTTTGAAACAAAAATGTTCTTCACTTACTCAACACAGATACGATACGATACAATCGATACTGTTTGGATTTTTTTTTCTCATCGCAAAAAAAAAAATTCAATCCTTTTTTTTGTCATTTGATTTGGAATTCAATTCTTTTTATTTTTTTAAAACCATGATTGATTTTTTTTTCGGTGGAAAATTTCAATTTTAATTAATTTTGTTCAATCAATTTTGGTAATTTTTTCTTTTTGTATCCGAAAAAAAAATATATTATAAGCAACTAGTGGTCGTAGTAGTAGCATTAGTAACAGTATTTTTGTATATACATTATGAATGACCAAAATCACTTGCGCGATATTGCCAAAGGCGGAGGCCATTGATGATGATAATCATCATCAACATCATCATCATCTTTGCTCTTCTCCTCATCAACATTTAATTTTCTATTTTTACTCGCTCAATGTTTATTTGTTTTTCTTGTTGTTGTTGTTGTTTGTTGATTCTTGGTTTATTATAATTCATCATTTTTTTTGTTTGTTACCTAAATCCTACTCAAATTACAAATATAGATTGTGTTTGGACAAAAAAAAAGACGAACAAATTCAATTTGACCGAATTATTATTGTGGTGAACAATCCTCAGATATTTGGTATATGAAAAAAATAATAACCATTGAAAAACAAGATTATAAAAACGATTATAAAATGTCTTCGTTGACACAACAACGTCGTGTTGTCGAACAATTAAGACGTGAATCGCATATCAAACGTATTATGGTTTCAGCTGCTGTTGAAGATCTAAAGGTAAAAAATCTGTAATATTTTTCATATTTCATTGATCACATTTTTAATGTTTTCATTTCATTTTAGAAATACGTCGTTGAACATGCATCCGAAGATTATCTGCTCGTCGGATTTCATTCACAAAAAGCTAATCCATTCCGTGAAAAGAGTTCTTGTGTTGTCCTGTAATCATCACAGTTATCATCTTTATCTTGCCCCAAATTTTGTGAATGTATAATTATGTTCCATATATATTTTTCTAAAACGTTAGATCAATCAAATTATTCCATAATTGTCTGTTGGGTCCAATCAAATTTTTTTGTATAATTTTATCAACAAAATGATTTCATCATCAATCAAGAATTATTCCGATGCCTTAGATTCTATTCATTATTTCCAAAACAACAATTAAATATCAACAGATTATATCCACAAATAATAAATTCAATAAAATGTATTTTAAATAAACTGATCATTTTTATTTCTTTTTGGAACGCAATAATTATTTTTTAAAAAAATATAACATTTATCCAATAGTGTTTGCCATTTTGTGTGGAAATAGTCAAAAAAAAAAAATAGCCGGATTTCTAAGCTTTCCAACACACTGCTTGCTATATATATACACACACATTACACGTACCAAAAGCACCCTCATCTTAAAGGGGAAAGCATATTTTTTTAATACAGTGAGAAATCATTTTCTTGAATTTTGGTATGAATTAATCAAAAGAAGAAGCCGTGAAAAAGGAGAATTCACTGTATAATGTGTTTTTATTTTCCCCCGATGAGGGTGATGTACTCATACAAATGGCATGAGTTTTTTAACCACTCTTTTCGTGTGTGCTGGTGTTTTTTTTTTCTTACAATCTCCTCCATTTTTTTGAGCATCATTATTTTCATTATCAACAGTTTTTTTTTGTGGTTCCAAGAAAGAAAAAAAAAATATTCCCATACCACATTTGTCAGTTTGCATTGGAATTTTTTTTTTTAGTTGCAAATAAACCAAATCATCAGTTTATCCCAGGGAATTTTTCCAATTACGGGTGGTTAAATATCGGTGTTTTTTTTATTTTGGTTTTTTGTTTTGTTTATTTTTGTTTTTGTTCGCCTTAAATCTTCGAAACAATCTTCTTTAATCAATTAATCATGGATTGGCAACCTGAACAACAAGGTCTTGATCAAATTCTACAGCTTTTACGCCAATCACAATCACCGGATGTTCAAACACAGAATCATGTACAACAACGTTTAGAAGAGTTGAATAATTTTCCCAATTTTAGTAATTATCTAGTTTTTGTTTTATCCAAAATGAAAAATGAAGGTATTTGATTCAAAAAAATCATATTTATGCTTGTAATTGACTGAATTTATTTCATTTAGATGAACCAACACGTTCATTAAGTGGTTTAATTTTAAAAAATAACATCAAAGCAAGATATCATCAATTACCACGTGAAGTAATCAATTATGTTAAATTTGAAGCGCTTACTTGTATGGGTGATCCATCATCATTGATTCGTGCTACAGTAGGCATTCTTATATCAACATTAATGCAAGAAGGTGAACTACAACAATGGCCCGAATTATTTGATATTCTATTAAATAAACTTGATTCGGAAAATTATTACGAATGTGAAGGTGCTTTTAGCATTTTACATAAAATTATTGAAGATAATGCCGAAGCATTAGATAATGAAAATTATTGTCGACAATTGAATCTAATGATACCGAAATTTTTTCAATTTTTTACAAATCCAAATTCAAAAATTCGTTCATATGCATTATCATGTGTGAATAATTTCATTCTAAATCGAACACAAATAATGATGCCCTATGTTGATATATTCATCGAGGTGATTTTCTGTTCATTTTAATGAATTTTTCAATTGAAAAATCTTTATTTTTTCGTATTTTTAGGGTTTATTTAAACTTGCAGCCGATAATGATCGTCAAGTACGACAAAATGTTTGCAAATCATTTGTCACTTTAGTTGAAATACGAATGGATCGTTTGATTCCACAAATCCACAATATAATTGAGGTAATTTTAACCATTTACGTTGAATATATTTTCATCTTTCTAATCGCGCCATAAGTGATTTTGTCAATTTACTTATTGGTCAGACAATGAAAGTAAATTATTAGGGCTTATTTATTTTTTATTTCGAAACGAATTTTTCACTACATGTTCGTTTCAATACAATTCAAATAAATCTGACAATATTTTTCTTTCTTTTTTTTCTATAGTTTATGTTGATGAGCACACAAGATCAAGATATAAATGTAGCATTGGATGCTTGTGAATTTTGGCTAACATTAGCTGAACAACCAATTTGTAAAGAAGTTCTTGCACCACATCTTCCACGATTGATACCAACATTGATGCAAAAAATGAAATACTCTGATTTGGATATTATTCTTTTGAAAGGTGATGTTGAAGAAGATGAAATGATACCGGATAAAGAAGAAGATATTAGGCCACGTTTTTATAGTGGTCGTACACATGCACAACCAAGAATGGATGATAGTGAAAATAATCATAATGATGATTCTGATTCAGATGATGATGATGATTTTGACATACATAAAGGTAATAGTGATTGGAATTTACGAAAATGTTCGGCAGCTGCTTTAGATTTCTTGGCCAATGTTTTTCATGATGATCTATTACCGGTTGTTCTACCAATTCTACGTGAAACATTATTCCATCAGGATTGGGTTACAAAAGAGGCAGCTGTTCTAGCATTGGGTGCAATCGCTGAAGGTATATTGATAATAATCTAATTTAATCATTCTTTTTTTTGCTAATCATGTATTTCAACATTTTTTTCAATAAATAGGATGCATGATTGGCATCGTACAACATCTAAATGACCTCATACCATATCTTATTTCGTGTTTATCGGATAAAAAGGCGCTAGTCAGATCGATCACATGTTGGACATTGAGCCGATATTCACATTGGGTTGTACAAAACCCTGAAAACTATCTTAAACCATTAATAATGGAGGTTTGTTCGATTTTTAATTTTTGTTTATTGATCATTTTATAATTGGAAAATTTAGCTTTTAAACCGAATTTTAGATCCGAACAAACGAGTACAAGAAGCTGCATGTAGTGCTTTTGCAACATTGGAAGAAGAAGCTGGTACGGATTTAGTTCCTTATCTAGATAATATTCTCAAGACCCTAGTCAGCGCATTTGGAAAATATCAGGTAAAAAAATTACATTGTTTTCCATCAATTTAATTCAATCCAATCGTTCTGTAGCACAAAAATCTTTTAATTTTATATGATGCTATTGGTACGCTTGCTGATTCTGTTGGCTATCATTTAAATAGACCGGAATTTATAGAACTTTTAATGCCACCATTAATTCAAAAATGGAATTCATTAAGTGATAATGATAAAGATTTATTTCCTTTGTTAGAAGTAAGTAGGATCTTTTATTTTGCTAATCTTACAATTTTTTTCATACAAAACTTTCTAGTGTTTTTCAAGTGTAGCAACTGCCTTACAAACAGGATTTTTACCATATTGTGAACCAGTGTTTCATCGTTGCCTTTCTCTGGTCGAACAAACATTAAAATTCAATGCGGTAATTATCTTTTTTTAAAATTTGATTTGAAATTTTACAATTTTTGTTTTAAAACAGATATTTCAAGAAAATCAAGAACAATATGATCCACCAAATAAAGATTTTCTAATTGTTGCACTTGATTTGTTGAGCGGTCTAGCAGAAGGATTAGGTGAACACATGGTTCCTTTGATTGAAAATACCAATACAATGAGATTATTATACGAATGTATCAAAGTAAGAACTTTTTCAAAATTTCCGATTAAGATTGCTAAACCTTATCTTTTTCATTTGTTTCAGGATCCAACACCAGAAGTACGACAAAGTTCATTTGCTCTACTTGGTGAACTGACCCGAGCATGTTTTGTGTTTGTCGAGCCATGTGTTCGTGATTTTATGCCCATATTAGCACAAAATTTAAATCCTGAAAACATTTCTGTTTGTAATAATGCAACATGGGCCATAGGTGAAATATCGATCAAATATAAACAACGAATGCAAGAATATGTAACGATACTATTGCCACAATTGATTATTAACTTGAATCAAACTGATTCACCGAAAACATTACTAGAAAATACTGGTATGTAGATTTATTTATTCAAAATCCTATTTTCATCTTAAAAATTTCATTTCCAGCAATTACGATCGGAAGATTAGGATTTGTTAGTTCACAATTTCAGACACAACGACAAATCTCACCATTTCTACAGCAATTTATTCGTGCATGGTGTTTATCAATGCGTAACATTTGTGATAATGAAGCAAAAGATTCAGCATTCCGTGGTATTTGTTCGATGATTAGCGAAAATCCAAACGGAGTGTTGCAAGATTTTATCTATTTTTGTGATGCTGTTGCATCTTGGAATAATCCAGAACCAGATTTGAAGAACATGTTTTTAGAGGTAATTATTTTCTGTTATCGATAAAAAAAGATTTGTATTCACTGTTCTATTATTTTTTAATTTTAAATAGATTTTACATGGTTTCAAAAATCAAGTTGGCGAAGAAAATTGGAGACAATTTTCGGAAAATTTTCCACCAAGTTTAAAAGAAAGGCTTGCCAATCAATATGGCGTATAAATGAAGATTATATTTGATAATTAGTTTAATTGAAATGCTGCTATTTATCTCTCTATGCGTGTGTTAATAATTTTAGATTATACAACACCGGTAATGATGTTTTTTTTTCTTGTTTGGTTTGATTTTGATATCATTATCGTGATTTTTGTCTACAATAATTTATTTTTTATTTATTCATTAATTCAACAACTTTTAAAAAAAACATGTTTCTTGTTGCGAACTGAATTCATTATTATTGTCTAATATACCAAAAAAAAACAAAACAAAAAAAGAATTCGAGTATCATATTATATTCACTAGTCTTAAATCATTATTTTTTTCTTGGATTTCATCGTTTTTTCCTTACAACTTGTTTAGGATCAAAATTATCATTGTATTCATCATAGAAAACAAAAACAAAAAAATTCATTCTATGAATTTGCTCATTTTCATTAATGTTAGATGATCATCATTTTTTTCTATCTTATCTCTTTTTTTTAATTCATTGTCTTTTTTCAGAATATTTGTTTTTGTCGAATCGCAAAGTGATTATCGAATAATTGTTTTTTTTTAAACTTTCAATATGTAATGAAAATAATTGGTGCCTTTTTTTTCCTTTTGGAGATATTCGGTTGTTATTGCACAACTACAACAACAACATCAAAAATGGTTTTTTAATTGAAATTCCTTTCAAATCAAATAATTCCGCAACAATTTGTGATCTTGATCAATTTTTTTTTCTCTCGCACTTTAAAATATTAGCTGATAATTTATTATAATTAATACTGATGATAATTATTATTGTAATATTAATGTTTTCATTTGAATATTTGTGTTTTTCGCTTTTTTGCTTTGGCCAATTCAAATTCTCAAATTTTTTTTTAATTATAAATTGTATGATATAATTATGTATGTTTCAATAATGTGTCAATCAAATTACTTCTGTACATTCTGATTAATTTTTTTCTGTTTGATGTCATTTTCAAAACTCGAATTTTTTCTTTTTCTTTTGCATTATTCCTTAATTCTTTAATTAAATTTGAATCAAATTTTTGATTTTTTTTTTGTCAAAGAAAAATATTTACAACAGATGGCTCTCGTGTTGCAAGTTATTTTTTTTTCTCCAATAAAAAAAAATTCACGCTGCCAAGATGCTTATTCATCCAACATTATAACCAAAAATCTCCATTTGCTACAGACACACGTATTTGGTGGAACTCAAAACTCGTGTGTGTGTGTGTGAATCTGTATACGTTTTCATCGTTCTCACTTGAATTTTTTGATTTTCAAGCTGGTCTTTGACGATTTTTTGTTTTTCCAAAAATTTTCGTCCATTTTATAGTTTGTTCAATTTATTAAATAATTATACCAGCTTTAGTTGAGTGATATATAGTTGTCGGCAAATTAATTGCTATGGCTGCAAAAATGAAGATTATTGTAAAAACACTTCAACAAGAAACGTTCGATGTTGAAATGGATGAAAATGATACGGTTTGAATAATTTTTTTTTCAAATTTTTATCAATATTAAATTTATTTGTTTAAATTCAAAAAAATAATAGATACGAAAATTAAAGGAAAAAATTCAACAAGTAAAAGGTTCGGAATATAAAGCCGATTGGCTAAAACTTATTTATGCCGGTAAAGTATTGTTAGATGATTCGATCGTAAAAGATTGTAAATTTGAAGAAACAAGATTTGTTGTCGTCATGGTTGTCAAACCAAAACAAGCTCAGCAATCAACAAAAACTGAAACTTCTGAAACAAGTTCATCATCAAAATCTGATTCAACAACTCCAAAAGTTGTCGATGATGGTGGAAAAGCTAAAGAAATCAAAAAAGAATCAGAAAAACCTGAAACTTCCTCTGCAAGAACAACAACTACTACTACATCAACAACTAAAGAAAGTACAGGTTCAGAATCGAGTGGAGCATTGCCGAATATAAATATTTCAGAATCAACTGTTGTTGTTGGAGAAGATTATGAACGTATGGTAACACAAATTATGGAAATGGGCTATGATCGTAGTTCAGTGGAACGTGCACTTCGTGCCAGTTTTAATAATCCTGATCGTGCGGTCGAATATTTGATATCGGGTATTCCTGATTTTGATTCCGCTCCATTAGCTACATCACCATCAGAGCAAAGTTCACGTTCAGAATTATCCGATACCGGTTCTGATTCGAATCCATTCGAATTTTTACGTAATCAGCCAATGTTTCGTACGATGAGACAAACGGTTCAAAGTAATCCACATCTATTGAATAGTATGATACAACAGATAAGCCAAAATAATCCTCGTTTATTGGAATTGATTAGCCAAAATCAGGAAGCCTTTTTACAGATGTTGAATGAACCAATTGAACCATCGGCTCCACAAACTACTGGTTCCGGTGTTTCTGCTGCCGCTGCTGCTGCTGTCGAAAGTGCTCCAGAGCATCCAAATCCAGCTGAACAATCAAATCTGATGAATCTTATTGGTACCGCTCATATGACCCAACAGGATAAAGAAGCTATCGATAGAGTAAGATTTATTTCTAATTTAATTAAAACTTGATTGTAATTTCTTATCGTTTCTTTTCTTTTTGAAAATAATAGCTCAAAGCATTAGGTTTTCCAGAATATCTCGTTATACAAGCGTATTTCGCCTGTGATAAAAATGAAAATATGGCGGCAAATTTTTTATTATCACAAGGAAATGACGATTAATAATTTGGTGCCGGCTATAATATGAAATTTGGAATTTTCTTAGTAAAAATAAAAGATCGAATGTCTCGACAACTTTTTCTCTTTTCATACACTTCTTTTTATGATTTTTTTTTTGTTTCAATTAAAGAAAAAAATACAACCCTCTTTACTAAAGAGCTTTTATTTATGAATATAATATTATATGATGTGAAACGAATTAGAAAACTAAATTGATTGTCTAAAAAGAATATTTAATTCATTATAGAAAGGAAATCTCGTTCTATAACAAAGATATTTCAACAATTTTTGTTTTCATTTTTGCTTGATGTTTTCTTCATATTTTTCTTACTTCATCTCTTTCTCTCTTTATATCATAGATAAAAATTCCATGATTTTCTGAAAAAAAGATTGTGTCTTTTTGTTTGTTTGTTTCACAAAATAAATTAAAAAAACGTTGAGTTTTGATTGCAATCGAATTTTTGTTCAAACTTTTCCGTATTAACGCCATCTAGTGAATGATATATTGTTCAAACGATAAACTGTATTGATTCAAATCGAAAAAAAGCGACATTCTTTTAAATTTTTTTTTTTTTGCAAAAAAATTTTATTTCCCATTTCAAATATAGAATGATGATCAGTATTAGAATATCAAATTTTAGAACAGGATTTTTAGGACACAAAATGAATTAAAATGGATTAAAAAAAGAAGAAGAAGAAGAACAAAGCGAAAATATTAGGAAAAAAAGACATTTGTCATTCAGTTTATCTGTGTTTGTGTGTGTGGGTGGGTGGATATTGAAAAAATTAAATGAATAATCATAATAGTGATGATAGTAATTATTCGATAATAAAGAAATGAAAATTTATCTAAATTTGTTCAATGATAAGTATATTCAGCTAAGTATTATATGAATGTTAGCAACAAAAAAAAAAAAAAAAAAAAAAAATTGAAAAAATATAAATCAGTTAAATTGGTTTGATTTGGATTCAAAAAAATGGAATGATTTTGTTTTGTTGTT